AAATTTTAATACATAATACTGAGCACAGTAAAAACTATTCTGAGCTTGCTTTGCAAAATTAAATTCTGTATTTGGTAGTCTGTCATAAAATGTCTTTGATTTTTCTCAGACTTCTCATTTTATAACTTTTTTTTTTTTTAATGCTTTATTGTGAATTGCGTGATAGTTTACATGGGAGGACATCAGCTTCACATTGATCCTGTCGTATATCGCTTCCTTGCCATGGTTACAATCCCTTCCATGCATCATCAATCAACCAAAGGGTATACCCTGCAAGCCTGCCTCCCTATCATCCGCACACCACCACTCTCTCTCTCCAGATCCAAAGTCTCCAGCCACTCCATCTCCCCATGTCATCATCTCTGCCTCCATCCCTGGTATCGCTGCTTCTCTGGGTAGGGTTCTGTTCTCTGCTTTTCTCCTTTGATGGTCCCAGGGACCTCTGCTCCTAGACTGCAAGGTTAATCACTCCCCTCCCTTTGCCACAAAATGTCCACCTTTACATTTCCAGCCCTTACAATCAGTCCTGATAACAATTATTCACTATTGTATCGCAAGAGACCTATCCGCATCTCCTTTCATCAGCCCTGACTAGGCAGAATGGATACTACTCAGTGGAGATTCTACCTTGCTCCACGTCCTCTGAATCTAGGTTCCCTCTTGAAAGCTTGTAAGCCAGTCACTTCTTGCCTCTATACCCTGCCCACCTTTTCTGGGTAGCCAATGTCCAAGTTGCCCATCCCTGTCCTCTCTGTGTGCGGAGGAGGTGGGAATGATCCTCGCTGTGAAGATTTGTTCACTTTTTTGAGCTACTGCTTCCATAGGTGTGTGTCAAGTTCATCAAATTGTGTCAGATTTTTCTTTTTTCCCTCTTCTTTCTTCTTCTGGTTGAGCTCTGATCATCTAGCCATTGAAGCCAGGTTAAGTGGGTATTATCTGCAAGTGTGGTGTACTTAAGCATGTGCCCTCTCTTATCAGCTGGATGCTTCACTCTCCACTGTAATCCTCTGTGGCTATGTTGCTGACTCTGGGTCCAAGAATCCCCTGGACTTGGCACACTGCTGGCCAATCAGGTCTCCATCCGGGTTCACAGGTGCCTATTGAGTGTTGTAGGGCTTATTTGTAGCTTCATTGCTGTTTTTCCCTCACTTCCCCTTATCGGTTAGCCCCCCATTTGTGATAGCCAATGTCTAAGCTGCCTGTCTCTATCAGTCAAATGCATTGAAGAAGCAAGCTTGGTCCTTGATATAGAAGAGTCCTTCCCTTTCGTTTGTATCCTCCTCCATTTGTAAGAATCCTTGTAATTACATTCAGGAGACCTGGTGGTGCAGGATTCAGCTGTTTACCCAGAAGTTGGCAGTTTGAACTCACTAACCACTCCATGGGAGAAAGATGTGGCAGTCTGCTTCTGTAAAGATTATAATTCTACTCTGTTGTAAAGGGTGATTATGTGCTTGAATCAACTCAGTGATAATGAGTTTGGTTTGTCTTAGGTAATTACATTGGGCTCACTTGGATCGTCCACAATAGTCTCCCTATTTTAAGGTCATCTGAGTAGCAACCTTAATTCCATCTGTAATTTTAGTTCCTCTTTGCTCGATGATCGAACATATTCATAGGTACAGAGATTAGGGTATGGACATTTTTGGAAGGCCCATTATCCTGTCGCCCACAGCTTTGAAGTAGTCATTCTCATCAGATAGAGATGGTCTGGAATACTGACCAACATGGGTACAGTGGAATGAGCAGTACTCAGAGTCAGGATCTGCACTCCCCTCAGCTTTCCCAGCTACTAGCTGGCAGCCCACCTAATCTTTGGGCCCCTTTTTACATCTATACAATGAGGGGGCTGGATGTGATATTTCCTAAGGTTCCTTCTAACATTCTATGAAAGATACACATCTCCATACCAAATAGAACATTTAAGATCAAGAACTACGATAGAGCAAACTGCTATGTAAAAATAAACTCAACTGGGGCAGTAACTCAATGTTCAGATTTGTAATTTTCACTGTAAGACCTCATTATCTAATTGTTGGTACTTACAGATTTTAGCTTCAGGAGAATTTAGACTTCTCTTCAGCTGCCTTGGGCTACAAGAGGCTAGAATTTATGGTGGCTCCAAGAAGTTGTCATTAAATGGAATTTCCTTTTCTGGGTAGAACCATGTCCTTCAGTTTAGTCCTGGATACAAGTCTCTATCCTATAGTCTGCTTCAACCTCTCTGCCCTCCTCCACTTACTGTCACTTAGTTCTTTTTTCCTAACTGGATTCACCTTTCCTTTCATTGGACCCTTTCCCCCCTTTTCTTGGTGAAAATATAATCAAGACAACCCGGGTTCAACAGTTTTTACGTGTGGAGCATCGACACTGATTCCATACTTCATATATTGTGTACCGATTCCTCTGTTGCTGCCCTATTTCCTTATTACCACTATTAACTTGGACCTCTGGTACGGTGCTACCGGTTAATGCGGTAAACTGCAAAGTCGGTTTGGGCCACAAAGGCCAGCCGTTCCAACTCATCAGCTGCTCCTCAGAAACCCTGTACAGGATCGCTAAGAGCTGTATCCTGACTTGATGGCACTTAACAACAACAACCATTAACTTAGACTCTCTGCCCCTTGTTGTACTCTTCTATTTCCATTTAGTCTCATGGAGATAATGCTTTCGAAGAATGAAATGCTCATTCTTGTGTTAAATTCTATGTTAAATGAGCTAAATCACAGCCTAGTTTAAAGATGACTTCATGAGATAGTTTCAGTTCAAGGCTCCAAAGCTATTTTCAGGTAATAATAAACTTAAGGGTCACTGGACTTTGACTCATTCATTCAAATACTTTTTGAGCACCTACCATGTGAATGGGCTGATGCTGACATGTGAATTAAGAAGAAAGACCCAGCTGCTGCCTTCACTGGACTGAGTGTAGATCAAGAGTCTCCATATATATTTTTTAATTTAATGTTTTATTGTGAATTATGTGATCATTTACATGGGAGAACATTAGCTTTACATTCATCCTAT